ACTACAGCGTTTGAGGCTATACTATTCAAATGTAAGTGAAAATATAAATAAAAATAAAACAAAGGTTCTTTAATTTAATTACCTAAATTGTGCCTAATTGTATTTCATGCGTAAAAGCGTGAAAAGTGCTTCAACTTCCTTCTGCTCTCTCATCGCGTGGTGATCAACTGCATGGGGGGGGGGGGTGCTTGCGACGTGCTACCGAGTCCCGGACCCCGCTCCCGGTGGCGGCCTCGACCTTGACATCGCTGTCCACACGGCCCACAGCTGGCAACGCCTGGCGTCGCTGGACGCGGGAAACGCGCTGGCCCAGCGAAACATTTGGGCCAGCGCGGCGCACACGAACGGCTCCTGTGATGATTCATTTGACTAATGAACTAACCCTGTTGCCGTAAACGGAGCCCGACGGAATGAGTGAGACACTGAAGATGGAAAGTGACAAACTTCGAATGGAAAAGACTGATTGCATTTAAGTTATCTCGTTATAAAGTAATTGAAAGCATAACTGAAGGAAACTGAAAGGGAAATAAAATTTAAAACAATTAATGGTTTTAAACAAATGAAAAACATTTTGACTTTTGAGAATGGGACAGATTCACAGAGGATTTACGATGCTTTCATGAGTCTCAAAAATATAAAATTTGTACGCCACTAGAAAAAATGCAAAACTCGCACTTTATAAAGTCGCAATAAGGCCTTTAGTAACATATGCGCAGTGATCTGGACCCTGAAGGAAAATGATATTAGAAAGCTAATGTATTTGAAAGAAAAATAATGAGAACGGCTTTGGTCCAATATATGTTGCAGGCGAACTTTGGGAGGTGTAATCATGAAATTGAAGCCATCATAAAAACAAAATACTTTGCAAATAGCATTATCTTACTTCACGTTGACTTGTTTGGACACTTGTGTTAAGTGCAAGGAGATAGAATGGTCAAGAGGTTTTATAATTGGTTCCCGATTGCAATAAGAAAGGGAGATCGAAAATCACATTGAAAATAAGAGACTAGGTAATAGGAAGTATGAGGTGGTTCAAAATAGATGAAAGAGGAAGGCAGTCTTGGAGCAGGCCAATTCATTCGTGAAAATGTTGTAGTGCCTTAGAAGAAGAAGAAAAGAAGTTCATTCACTTGCCAACTGTGTTTTTTTTTACTTTGTTGCACCGGTGTTTTGTTACTTTAAAGTACGCATTCCGCATATTGATACTTTTCCATTTACGCTCAGCAAAGTAAAACTATCCATCAATAAACACTAAACGGAAGTTGTGTTTTTTATCGCATGTGGGTTCAAATACAAATAAACGTCCAATAAATGCTTACGTTTTGACAAGAAAACATTTGTAACAATTTGTTATCGTATGTCATTATCGTACGTGAGAGATTTTATTGATTCGTAAATTTCACTCCACAGAACTGTTAAGTGCTCACTGCAGAGTTGGAAAATTGGAAGAATGGAATCAATATCTTTCTTTGTGGTCACTCTGTGTTCGAAGCTGACGTCACCATTCGTTGCCTGCTAGCAAACAAGACAAAATACTTTGGTGGTAAACATTGTTATTGAATGTGAGCCTTTCTTACTTTTGCGCAACCTCTGTGCTGTATTTGTCATAAAATTCTGCTGAATTGTAAATGCGAACCATACGCAGCGACCGCGATTCGAATTCCGCCACCGAAGGAATACGATTTATGCTCTGGCACTTGGGGGTGAAGAGACGTAAAGCTACTTTTACTGCTCACAAGCAAACAAAGCCATCTTTATATTCCAGTAGATATGCGGGATATTGAGAAAACAAATCCATGGATATAGGGTGCGGTATTTCTATCAATATATTTTGTAACAGTTTCGTAGTTTCTTTGGTCTTAGGAATTTTAACTATAAAAATTAAAATAGAACCTTTATTTTGCGCATCATCAACTAATATTTTGTACAAGAGATCCATTAGTCAGCCACTAGCGACCCACTTTATCATTATATTAATTTGATAGATTATTTCGTGATTCCGGGCGCAACTGCTGTGTCTGTTAGTTCCATAAGTGTAGTGTGTGTGTTTATCACGGGAGGTGGCGATGTCCTGCCCTCCTCGGATGGTGATATCCGGCGTCGACTACCACGTGGGCGCTTGTGGGCGTTTTGCATATGAGCCAATGTGGTCACTCGGGAACGCTTCCTCCCAAGCTGGATCAAAGTATTTTAAAGCCCTGGAACACCGTTTTGCAACACAAGTTTTGACAGCGCCATCACTATCGGAAAACGGCGAAGTTACCACTGATAGTTTCCTTTCCTGACACTAAGAAGCTCGTGGCATGCCTCGATGGCACGAAGCGTGCCACTACCACTAGAAGAACACCTTGCCATCACTGATGTAGGCCCAGAGGCGTACCTAGGCATTGAGGCGCCCATGGCAAGCATAGGATTTTCACCATGTGACAAGACAATTTGAATTCGGGTTTTTGTTTCAGCGGGTGTACTCTAATTAGCGCCCCTTGTGAGTGGCGCCCTGGTACTTGCAATGGTGGCCGTATGTAAATGATGGACTAAATAATACCTTCATCTTTTCTCGCGACTTACGTTCTAACTTGACATGTAAATAGCGGACCAAACCAACCTAGGTAAGGAAAGGGACTGATTGAGTAGGTAAGCGCGTTAAGGGGCCGCTGCCGACACGCTGCGGCCAGCTTTTCCTTGTGCCTTAGTGAAAATCTTCCAGACTCGCTCGTATATCACAATAAGAAGAAAAGAAATATGGAAATCAAAAGAAAATAATAAACCCTCTTGTGAAAATATTTAATGAAAACAAGTTTTTCACGAAAAAATACGTTTATACTAAAACAACAAAAAAGATTTCAATTAAATGTCAAAATGAGTCTTTTCCTAAATTTTAGCTCAACATTCATCATAATGAGTAGATATTCTTGAATTATCTTATAATATTGTTTTTATTTTCATTAGCCAAGAGCATTAATCCCAAACATTTAGAACCAGAATGTTTTAAACAAATTATATTACATTTTCTAGTTTTTACCAAAACATACTAAAATGGAAAAGCCTCATTTTGAAATTATACCCCTCAATTTACCTATATCATTCTCTGGGTCAGTCCCCACTTTACGTACGCGTTAAACTCGTTATTTTCCTTGCGGTCCCCGATTAACACGCGCCTCGACGAAGGACGTGGTGTCGGAACGGGGCGCTCGCGGGACGCGTCGGCGCCGGGCGCTGATTGGCTGATTGATTTGGAAACAAGTCTCTCCATTCTTCTTCTTTTCTAATTCTTCTTCATAACGTCCTATTAGTCCTTATGGTCTTCGCCAACAACTCTCTGCCAGTACCCAATGTTCTGTACTACATTTCATTATTCGTCATTCACTGTCCTCGTAGCACACCTCCCTTTGCTACTCTGGCGTTCTTGCTTGCCTCCCCCTCTTTGACCATGTGCATAGAGCTGGGTTGCCGTTGAGGTGGTTCGTTGAACTTCGATGATGGTCGCCTGTCATAGTGACTTGAACATTGCAACAAATGAAGTATTTTTTTTTTTCAAAAACATAGTTTTGATTTATCCTAAAGATCATTTACCATGAAAACTAATTAGAGTGGTTTTCTTAAACGATATTTCTCTTGAAACATTTAGACCGACAGGAATAATACCAATTTGGGCAATTTTTATATCAGCAGTACAGAAATCAAAGATAGAAGAGTACAATCAGAAATAATAAAAAGAGTTTATTAATTTTAAAACTGTATATTGACTTGTACTGTAATTGCGCATGAACTGATTAGTGTTTAAAAAATAAGCACAAGTTTCGAACAACAGCAAAGACTCGCTCTATACTTTGTGATGAACTGTCTGGATCTGCACCTCCTGGATGTGACCTTGACGTTATGCAACTGCATCACCTCCTCTGTCCCTCTCTTCCATCCCATCTGTCTTTATCTGACCTCTCATTCTCTCTAACCCCGCTGACCTCGGCCTCCCTAAGTCATCTCCCCCCCCCCACGCCCGCGCCGGGCCCACCCCAGACGACCTGCCCAGCGCCCAGCGCCCCGACTGCGCCTGGGGCGGGTGGCCACTGGCACGTCGCGCCCGCCGGCAGGAGGGGAGCGACGTGTCAGCGGCCCCCGGCCCCTTAAGCTTCTCGTTCACCTCCACAACCACAAGGATAGTTCGGATAAAGAAATATGTTCCTATCCGAATGCCTTGAGTGGGCAATAGACAACAGGCCGAGGTGAGGGTCTGGTGGATGTAACGTTCAACGTATCAGAATGTTATACCCAAGTTGCGGGTTAAAACCTGATCGAAGGCGTGGATTTTTAAGGACGAAAAATACTTCGTACGTCTTCCTTCGGAGGGGAAGTAAAGCCGGCTGTCCCATGTTAGTAGATTTGCATTAGCCTGTAAAATATATTGAAGCCTAAATGAAGCCTCTGTGCTAAATTCAAATCGCCTGTTTCGTCGCCTCCATTCCCCGCTAGTTAGTGAAATGAGCGTAGCGAAATTTGCGTGTTCAGACGAAAGACCAGGCCTCATGGACTCAGTCATAAAGCATCAATTCAATTCAATAACTGTTAGTGAACGTTGATATTTATTGTGATACATTCAGATTAAAACGATACGTTTCACATTTGCCACTCCTTTCCAAGAGCTGAAAAATTAATGAAGCCATTACAAGATGTGTTGTACGTGAACTTAGGCTTGTTTCTATTGACGTCAGTTGTCCATCTGAAAAAAACCTTTATCTGTGTGACATTTTAATTAACATCGAGAATATGTGCCCACTGTGTACTGGTTTTATTTTTTACGTGTTTTAATTGTCTACAAGATTTATATATTTTTCTAGATAAGTGTTTTGTATCTTAGTATATCAAAAGTCAATTTGTAGTATCTACCGTGTACCGAGTACTGATTCAAAAATTTTTCAGTTGTTGAAAAGAAATATTAAACTGCGCCATGATTTCTTTAAAATCGGAATATAACATAATAACTAGCAACATCCACCAACAACATGTTATCTGTTAACCTCCTTAAGAAGATTCCTTTATCAAAATCAGGGTTTTTTGTGAAGGGTCCAAGATTTAGTTTGCACGGACGGTAATTTTGTTGGATAGATTATGTATCACATGCACATTACTGTGTATTTTACCGAACTTGTGCGGTAAAACATATTTACCGCACTACTCCAAGAAACCACAACTTAACGGACAATTGACAGCACGAAATGTTCATTTCAAGAAGTGAATATACAAAAAATACCTATTATTAACCATTCAGCAATTGTCAAATGAACTCGCGCAGCTTTGCATCAACCCAATATTCATTCAGGCCAATATCGTTTCACTAGGATGTTTCCCATCACTCTTCATATTTAATCCCTATGCTTGACTTCTAATAAAGTTTGGTGTTCTTCCGCAAAACGTACTCAAAATAATTAATTTCCCGAAATTAGGTTTGAAAATTATCTTCATATTTCCCTAGAGACCTCGATATTGTTCTTGCTCTATTCTAAATATATGTTCCTGTTTCGTTATTGCATAAAATATAAATTGTGAATTAAAAAAAATTATTGTATAATTTTGTCATCCAACCAGTTATATTAGCGCGACCTGGTCTGAATCCATAGGAAGTACAACAGCAATCTTTTTGATTTGAGTAAACATTTTCACAATCGAGCCGTCGACAAAATGCATCCACTAGACTACCACAAAAACGGCTTCCGTGAGTTTAATAGTACAATTTTGAGAAGAGCGTTGACAAGTTCGTTCTTTCATTGCTGCGTCGCACGGAGAGGCGCGTGCGAAGATCCCGTTCTTTAGTTTCCACTTCGCGCACTATTTGCTTCTCTCACCCTCGAGTGAAGTTTGTTTCCCGGTGCTCGACCCACGAAACGTCCAGCTCTCACCACAGCACACTCCGAAGAAGTGGGAACGAACGACGTAATTTAGAGATAAGAGAACTTATATCCGCTATTTACAGGAACGCAACATTCTACCCTACTTATCTCTCTAATGAAGACATTCGAGTACGTAATTTCAACAAATCCGATGAACCCGAGACGTAAAATATTTATTTCAAGACGAATTTGTGTACCCTTCTTTTTAATCGTCAAAATTGCAGAAGTGTTTTATTTCCAGAGGAAAATCTGTATTACTAATTTCCAATGTTCCAAGAAATAGAAAACAACTGCAGTCTCCGGCCATGTGAGAGGTGTGTGTCTCTGGTTTTATTAGAAAAACAGGGACTCTGGAAAAATCTGAATCCAATTAAAGGATTTCGATTTTGACTGAAATATACAAATATTTGATCCTGTTTTTTCTCCTATTCTCAGACTGCGCGAATTCTCAATCTCAGTTCATCACTGCTCACGACGCCGCTGATATGAGCAGACAGCGAGGCTTCAAGGAAGAGTTCCCGGGCATAAAATATTTGCTATTTATGTTTTACATATTTATGAAAATATCTATTGTACTGTAGATGTATATATTATACCATTTTATTGCAGTATTTGCAAGTTATTTTTTTGTTAAAACATTCAATTTATTGCGATAGCATACGAGAGTAATTTATTTCTTGTTCTTGATTACTTCTCGTTACGATGACGTCACCATGCGAAAAATACATTTACATTTATTTAGGTTTCAACAGAAGTTTTTTTTTAAGAAAAATATGTTATTATTCCTTCATGTTTACTATTGTTTTTACAGTTATTTCGTTTGTAATTCACCAGTAGCCGTGATATTATTCCGTTTCTAATTCTGGGCAATAATTGTGAATCTTGCCTCGTCGCTACTAAGCAACACTTTCGTTATCTCACTCTACAGTAGTTACTTTCCCGTTCTCGACAAGCAAGACGTATTCAGTAGCTGCGCTACACATTTAATTTTGTGTGATTAATTGTGTGATAATTAAAATCGGGTGATTTTAATCATTCAAGTTTTGTAAGAAATTATTTATGTACTGTATTCTGTATAATTGACATTTTGGAATTTGTGGAGTTATTGTATTGTATATGCATATGTCTTGGAAGTCTCACAATAAATGTTCTGGACTTTTAGATCGTGTAAGGCGAACGAAGTTGATCTATTTCTGCCAACGAGCAAATGGTGGGAAATTTAATTCAACGAATTTGCACATGTAACATTTGCCCCTGATTTACAGGCAACTCAACTCTCTCAACATCATAGGTGTTTGGTGGGCACATGAAATCTCTATGAGTGCGTCAAAACGTCACTTACCAATAACAATCTTTTGATGGCCGGTAATAACGGTTAGCGTACCGGAATACATGTTAGCAGGTACAAACCCGATCCAAGTCGTGGATATTTAAGGGCGAAAAAAGTCCCTTGCAAGTCTTTCTTCGAAGATCATGTAGAGCTTGCTATCCCTTATTGTAGATTTACTGCATGTAAAAGCTTAAACTACACATCGGAGCTAAATTTAAATCGCCTGCTTCGTCGCCCGAGCGATATCTTGTTTCTCTGCTAGATGGTGAAAGGTGCGTAGCGAAATTTGCGTCGTGAGAAGGGAGAGAAAGCCTCAAGGCTTGAGTGTCGCCACGTAAAATGAGACATCATTGAATTCGATTGATGAATTGGCTCGGCAAGGTTGACATGTGTAATTCGCTGTATAAAGTTTGGCTGAGGGTGAGCGTGTTGCGTGCGCGTGCGCAGGGAGGTGGCGAGCGGGCGGCCGGTGCTGCTGGAGATCGCCACGACGGCCTGCCAGGGCGCCGACACGCAGGTCAACTACCTCGAGCACGTGCAGGCCGTCATCACGCTCAACGCGTCGCGCCGCGGTGACGTCGAGCTCTTCCTCACGTCGCCCATGGGCACCCGGTGAGTGCATTCCTTTATAGTGTGTATGTGCATTTTATTCTAATTGGCAGGTGGTATTTATTATGTATTGTTCAGCGCATTGCATCTCATTGAGGGCAAAGGCCTCCTGAAACAGGAAAAAGAGCAACCATTTCCTACCAAAAAGAAGTTAGATTGGCCAATTGACGTTATTTTCATCATTATTGCCATTAGTTGTAATAATTCATAATGGACGCTGTAAGCATTTAATTGTGAAACAATCGTGTGTGAACAAAATTGTAGGCAGGTGTTTGTGTGGTGGCTAAATAGTTAAAGGTTCTTGGATACCAGGACTATTTTTGGAGAAGAAATAATAATAATAATAATAATAATAATTATTATTATTATTATTATTATTATTATTATTATTATACGCGCACGTTTTCTTGACTTCCGTAATATCTACCCCCACTCCTTTGCCAACATTCGTTGAATTAAGAAATAATGATATCAACGAGCATCTGATAAGCAGAAATGTTCTCTCCCGTTTAATTGAAACTATTTTGCATCAAAATCGAACTACAAATTTGATTAAAAATTCCTCGTGTGAATGTAACCAAACTCCCACTCCTCTCGCACCGAGCGAAGCGGGGGCTCAAGAAAACGTGCGCGGATAATGCGGAGGTGTAAGGAAATGGGGAAAGTAAAAAGGAAATTGTTATGAGTGGTATGTACCTTGTTGGGAACATTGTCCAACACTGGATAACGTAAAGTAAATGCTTCGCAGCCTAGTGAAGTTGCGAGTTTGATCCCAACAAGGTGCTGGATAGTTGTTTGTGTATTTGTAGCGACTTTATGGCACCTGTCGCAATAGATTGCTTAGGTCAACTGTTGTGATGAGAGGTTTCCCTCGTAACTTCCAGACTTGCACCGCAACAGCACTTCACCATGGACTAAGCACGATCGTACCTCTCCTTTCGGTTCCCTTGCTATTACCGTGCACCAAAGACAGTAGCAGTTGAAGCGCCATCAAGCGGGATTGAAATCATCTCGCCCCCGTCTCCGCTTTCTTTGCATATTCCATTGCGAAAGGAAATCAGAAAATAAATATATTCGATCTATTTGTAACAAAATTAAAGCACTCTATTTCTCTACCCTTCCATTTATTTCAGAAGTACTAGTAAAATCATCATGATTTAATGACAAAGTAACTGAACGGCCATTTGTATTTCCCTATGTAATCTTTTCCGTATTGTAGGTTCTATGACTAAAATTATATCAACCAAATGTTTTCTCATTCTGGTTTGGTGCCACCCCGTTCAACACTTGGCCCCTCACGATTCATTTACCGCCTATCCACCCTACATACTTTTATTGCACCCGTCAGCGGCATAATTAGTTGTTATACCGGCCAAGTAATTAATTTATATCCTTGCATTTTCTACTTTCACTCTCTTCTATTATTTCCTGACGTCCCCTTCTAATTTGACTATTGCGCCGTACACGAAGAATACTTTTTTTTTAAAAGCCTACAAGGAACAAGGAATACAACCGCGTATTCTTCAGAGTATTATCAATAAATAATTCCTTTAGTTGTGGCCTCAGAAGCATAGATTTGCGAAGAATGGGTGTTTGGTATTTTTTCAATTTCAGCCTTGTGCGCATTGGGAATACGCGAAGCGCCGTGTTGAGTTGGGAAGGTGTTTGCGTGATTTGCGAATAACGAGTGCATTGCATATCTGACGGCCGTCTGCTGAGTTTGGTGGCCTACGGCCGGCCGCAATTCAGAGCTGGCGTAATATGCACTCTACTTCCGTTAATTGACAAATTTACGTGTTTCTTAATTTGAACCTGAAAAACGTTTTTCTTCGGCAATATTTTCATAATATTCTACAATGCAGTAATGATATGTATCTTTGCAAGCTGACATAAATATTTTTCATCTAATTGATGACACGACGATTGCTTTTCTCGCAAGAAATGAACCATTCTGTATATTCTCGACCTTTCAATTTGACCTGTACTAAAAACGCACTAAAATGGTCCAGTTCTGTTCTATTTCGTATTTGCTGCCTCATTGCGCACTCATCCAACATTTGCAGGCTTTCATTTTATTCGTGTTTTTACGTGTCTAGCCGTAGCTTCCATATCAATTACGAGATACCTTTCGCGTGGTGAATATAACAAAACTTTACTTAAATATGCGAAAACCGTGGTCTCACGTTACGTCTAATGGCAAAATAGAGTTAAAAATGTAAGATTTGCCAATTCCAAAAGTATGCAGGCTTAAGGTAGAACTAAATTAACGTCAATTTAAATTCAATTAGATTCCACTACTGGTCAGTATTAAAGTTGTTCGATATTTGTAAAATTTTACACCAATAAATTTTTCAAAAATATTGTCAATATAAAGTGTATATTATGTTAAAAACAAAGTGCTACATACCCACAGAAATTATTAGCATTGACACAATTAAAATGCAGAATTACATTTCTTGTAAAGCATGATAAGATGTTCGTGTCATTCAGTACGCCAAAAATTAGATATTTTGTTTTCTCAATTCCCAGACAATATTTCTGCAATCTCGTATGGCTGCATTTTTCGAATCGTGTTGTTCCTTTCATTCTTCTCCGTAGTCACCAGCATTTTATAGACATTATTCATTTATAAAATGGTGATACCTCACTCACGTTGATTCAATTATAATTTCACTTGTTATTTCTGAACAATTTCCAAAATATTATGTAAGTCATACTTAACCGCTTGCGAAGTCCCCTGCCCCCAAAATAAAAATTCACGTTGCACACTAGTATAATAAATACATTCATTTGACACCATTGCACCACGTTGCGTTTGTCTCCATTTTCTTTAATTAACCTCAATCCACAGTGTCATTATTCACGAAAAACTCCATTATTAGAAGCGCTAGTTCCTCGTATTGTTCGCATTAAATGTAACGAATATTTTTGTTCGAATGGCTAGTTGAGTCCTGTACTTCAGACAACGGTAATATACATATTTCTCGTGTTCTCAGCAGATGGTGAAAATAAACGCGAAAGCGGAAATAATAACCAGCTCAGGGAACAGTACGAATATTATAAATCATTGCTTTCATAATGAAAATATTTTCGCACTGGAACTCGGGCCTTTGGGCTGTGCGTTCTTTAATATTGGCCCGCTGCTGCGCATGGGTAAATACCAATATTCGAAGTGTTCTTCTGTAAAAAATAGATTGTAAATTTTTTGATATAAATAAAAAAAGTGTTCTTTAACAAACGGCAAAACTTGATCTGTAATATTGAAATTTACCGAAAACCAAATAGTTAAAATATTATGTTGGTTTCAAGTTTTTTACGTTCCTAATCAACAAGGCTTCGGAAATGGGCGACGTCAATAAACGAAATCATCAAAACTTTAGAGTTCAAAATGTCTCAATTTGTAAACGAGGATCAAATAGGTCTAATAAATTGTACAAATTCGGCATATTTTCTTAGAGTAATTTCGATATTTTTTGAAGTTCGTGGCAGTAAACAAGTTAGTTCCTTGCATTTGAAAAGCTATCTTTTGTCTAATTGTATGTAAATAATGTTTAATTAATTATCATATATTGAAAATTATGAAGTAAATTACGTTATTCCTTTAAATAAAAATTGTTTCCCTTAGTTAAGCTGCTTCTTTACAAGAATTTCTATAATACTTCTTTATATTTTATTTTTTTAATATTTCTCGGCCAATAAAATTCATTAAAAAGGCTGATAATTCAAAAGAAACAAAATTTTAAGATACTTTTGCATTTGTTTACTTACAGTTTCCAGGTTCGTTGTTTTGTAATATGCGATTTCCAAAACTATTGTGTTTAGTTTTTAGACACTATTTCCCCTTCCAAAATCTCACTATTCACTTCTTTTCAGTTATGCTCCAGATCGCTAATTATAAACACAATGGTGGAAAGCAAAAATATTGAATTCCAAGAGCAATATAATTTCGTTCTTTAAAAGCCATTACAATGTGCGCAAAATTCCGAAAAATGTACATTCCGTAATATTAATTATGAACATTCCGGTAATATTTAATTTGCATTCCAATACATTAAACCAGGAATTCATTTCCATTGGCTGCTATTTCCGCACCCTCATTACAAATTAATGAACTTTTTTATACTTTATGAACAAGGACCTACAAAGTAATAAGTGGTACAAATGAAAAATGAATGTGCATTAAAAAAGAATGATAAATTGCAAACAAATTAACAAAAATAATATTTGTTATGGTTCAAGTGAAACATTTCCAGTACACTGCAGTAATTACGATATAAGTTACCATGAAAAACTGTAAGGCGTTTTTGGTATGTACGCTGAATTATGCTGTATTTTTTTCTTATACTGCTGTACTTGTATTCTATACATCTTTATATAATTTCCGTACTGTCCCCGCTCATGTGAAAAAGTGTGAATTATATTTTAATTTATTTTGCTAATTACTTTTCTAACTAATTTTAAGTTACTATAAATACTGTTAAACTCGTTCAGTACTGCATCCTTGTCAAGTTTAGTAATGTTATACGACACTTTTTTTATTCATTTTAATGCTGTAAGTTTTTACAATTGTTTCATAAGTTAAAATATGCTTATGACGATATCTAAATTCCGACCATTAGTGAATATTTATAACGTTTTGATTTTATACAAAAGCGTTCATACTTTTTCTGATACAACAATCTAGATATATCATCGTTCATTTTGTTTGTGTCTTGTTGCTCTTTTATTTATGAATTTCCCATGTTTGCAACTTCACTACAAACAAATAAAATATTGGAAAAGACAAATACTCAGCGCAGAGAATGGCCAAGTTGACCACACGCGCTGCGATTCCCAACGCTTCCTCCAATTCGGCACAAGCAGGCCGTTCCTAATTCCGTCGCTGGGTGACACTCCGTGTACTTTGGATGTGTGCACATTTGGACCTCCCGCATGTCCAGTGTTGTGTTCTGTTTGCTCTGCGCCTTTGCGCCGAAGGGCTGTGCGCGCTCCTTGCAGTGCGCTCGTCGCCCGGCGCGTAACGAGTTTTGCGATCGCTTCCCTCAGCCGCTCGCCCCTCCTCTTCCCACGGCTTTCGCTCCTCTGGACTTCTTTGCCGCGAGCGCTGCTGTGCACTTTCCTATTTACCGCCCCGCTCCATCTACGCTCCGTCCCCGCTCCGTCCTCGCTCCGCCCACACTCCGTCCCCGCTCCGTCTCCGCTCCGTTCCCGGCTCGTCCCCGCTCCGATTTCACTGCGTTGCCGCTCTAACCCATCTGTATTCGCTCTCCATACGCCGTGCTCCCCTTGACCTCCGTTTCCTCCTGTTTGGTTGCAGTACTACATCGGCTGACGTGCAAGTTTCTGCGCCTACTACGTCTATAGTAGAATAAAGTTTAGCCCTATTCGTTTTTAAACATTTCCCCTGCTCTGATCCGGGTCCGATCCCGCTCCAACCCCACTCCGAAACCGTTACGAACAGACTTAGACCCCGCTCAGTCCTCACACAAACCCCACCCAGTCCCCACCCAGTCCCCGCTCCAGTTCCGGTCTCTCCCCGAACGCGGCCCCCGCTTCCCACGTCTCCTCTGCATTGCGATTACAGGGCTATTGAAATATGTAAAGATGAGTCAAATGATCACTGAATCACGAAGGAGAGAAGCTTCTGTTTCAAATAGCGTCTTCTCATTTCACCTATAGTCCTTTACTCAGATTCAATGAACAAAGGCCATAGGCATCGCAATCCCGTCCTCTGCCACGCGAACCACGCTGTTCGCCAATCCCTCTTTCGCCCCCCCCCCATCGCCTGCGATTTATTCTCCGCCCCCGCGCTTGTTTGCTTTGCGACTTTCGCCCCACAGTCCAGCGCGTTGCGCGTTGTGCGTATGCTCTTTGTTGTTTGCTAACTTCCGACGCGACGGAAGTTGCATCGACTTTTTGTGTGCACTATTTGTGTTTTGTACTATTATAAAATTATTCTCATGGGAACTGGAGATTTTAAAATTTTAATACAGCTGCGACCTTACAGCTTATATATGTACGTAGCGATTAAATTGATGACAGTCGATATTCGGGATTTTAAACTGTTGACCGTCATTTCATAGTTATTGCAGTGCGGATATAATTACTTTTAATTGGTTGTGGGTTGTTTATGAGTGGACGTTGTCGTGTTACGAAATACACATATCTAATGTTGTCTGTAGTTCATGGAGCGCGCTGGTCACAATATTATGGGTTAGTGTTGAATACGAATTAACGTATTTTTTAGTTTAGCTGGAAATTTCAGTTATTTTAAGGAATATTACTCATCAGTTAATGAACAGATTTTATTTTATTTATTGAACAAGAACCCTCCTTTGCAAGAACTCGCATTGTAAGCCTTTCTAATTAACCGTGCCTTACATTCTTGATTTTTATGTAACCCCCCAGTTAATGAAAGTAAATTTTATGTTGTTATGTCTCCGTTTCCGGCATTCAAATTTCAGTAAGCATTGAACTGAAATTAGTAAGTCGATTTTGATAAAGAAATTGTTAATTACAAAATAAGTTGATTTTGCTAATTGATATATTACAAAAAAACTTACTATTCTTAGTTGATTTTTCTACATAATGTTCTCCTTTTTAGTTCCTGTTTTTCTGGGAGGAGGCATAAAACAAATCTGACACTTTTCGCATATACTAGTATTTGATTTTTAACCTCTTATGTAGGTCAGTAATTTATAAGATTTTATAGGAATAATCTTTTCAGACAAATACCGGGAAGCGTTAATCCCCTTCTACTTGTGTTATTGATTGTGATGTAAAAAACTGCTTTATAAGTCATAAGTTTCTCATAGTTTTTCATTCCGAGCTTCAAATTAAAAAAAAAATACGTACAAATAATATTTTTTTCATTCGTTTTTTCAAAATATTATCATTTGACGCGTATTACATAATGGTTAAACTTTTTTGATAATAATGGAGAACATCTTAGTAGTAAGGACCTCGGTGCTTCAGTCCTCCATCCCATCTTTTAACCCACCATTATGTGTAAGTGTATTTCGATTAAACATCATAGACTGTATTCATGTGTACAAGAAAAGATCTTCTGTTTAGTCTAATGGTGGTTATACAAAAATATATGAATCGAGTTTATTGAATTAATACCTAATAAGCTTTACTTACTATCACTTGTCGAAGGGGGGCTCTAACTATTGATAATGTTATGTATATTGTTTTTTCACTTATTTGGATTATATATATTTTTAATCACAGATTTAGCCAATCGTAGCGAGAGAATATTGGGAGGTAGCGGTAAAACGAACAGTTATCACCGGTTAGTTTTGTGACCAAAATGTCAAATACCCCTGTCGTCACAATACAGATGTTTCCAAAAATTAACTTTGATTTTCCTATGAAGTTATAAATCTGCTATATAAAAAATAGCGTATGCAACTCGTTTATAATGCTGCCTTATGGGATTATACAAATATGAAAACTCGCTTGTAACGTCGATTGTCTCCAAAAGAAACTCTTTCACAGAAGCGCAAGGTTATAAATTAGTTGCATCATGTACTGTCATGTGAATCGCCGTGTGTTTACATTTGTGTTTGTGTGTTGCAGCTCGATGATCCTGAGCCGTCGAGTGAACGATGATGACCGCCGCGACGGCTTCACCAAGTGGCCCTTCATGACGACGCACACGTGGGGCGAGTACCCGCAGGGCACGTGGGCGCTCGAGGTGAGCCCTCCCCCCCTCCCCTCCCTTCGACCGGGCTGAGTGACCTCTGAGGCCGCTCAGGGCGTTCTCTCCGCAGCGACTCTTGGCCGGGGGAATCCGACCATAAATAGACAGGGCTAAGAGGGAGAGTCTTTTTTTCATTTGGAGCACCTGGAATTGAATAATGTTTTTTGCTTCAGTGAATGCACATGTATATTATTAGTCATTTGCCAGCAGAGATGGCTGAGGCCATCACGTGATGTCACTGCAGTGCCTGTGACCGGGAGGTTCTACGGTTCAAGTCCCGAGGGTGGCTGATTTTGGCCTCTAGCTACTTAGCTATGTCGAGTTGAGCCTCTGCCTGGAGGAGAATCTTAGAGGCCGGCTGCTCTGAGGCGTAATTCCTCGTGGTTTCTCCCATCAACACCAGGGGAATGCCGGAACAGTACCCTGACAATCGGTCCACAAAAGTCGCGTACTCTTTCCTTTCTCTTCCTTGTCCTGCCCTCACCCCTTGCTTACACACTTACATGCGCTGCATTATAACATATGACGAGTGATCATTCTGGAACTTAGAGCTTGTCTCGGCTGGGGCGGTGTCCCGCTGGTGGGAGATACCTGGTTGGAGGTATCGTGATGACAACATGCCCTACACTTACGGGACTAAAGATCTTGGCACCTGGCGATGCGCCAGGAAACACTAATCAGTCGAAAGGATTTATGCAAGGATTTGAAATGCGCAAACATATCAACGTTGTCAATATTTCTTGAAACCCGCCCCCTGGCCAGCGACGCACTGCATTCCGGTCTTCGAGTTAAAGCAGAGTAAGCAAAGAGGGAGTGGCGAGCGGCGTGGGCCACCTGCTTTTCGCATCGCCTCCGTCATCTGCTTCGGAGGGAGGGCGCGGGCGCGGGCGGGCCAAACCTGATGGGGAAGAGGCGTGGAGGGGCGGGGGGCGCTGGGACGAAGAGTGACGTGAGGGTGGTGGGAGGGACAATCGAAGGGCGCCGAACGAGTGTGCGGATAAGAGCGGTGGGCGACACCGGCGGTACAAGGAGGTACAGGGGTGAGAGAGCAGGTGAGGATGGGGGTGAGAGGGCCAGGATTAGGGTGGGAGAAGGTGAGGACGGCTAGCGAGTGCAGTGGGCGAGAGCAGTGCTTTAGGGTGGGGGGTGGGGGGCGAAGACGGCGAGTTATGCCGAGCGCGCACTGGGTCGGTGCGGCACGGGCGGACGGGACTTTTTCAAAAGTTGGTTCCATTGAGGGCGTGAGGGCGCACGCGCTCAGCCGCCACGGACGGGACTTTCGCCTTTGCCAAAAGTCCCAAGGAAAGACGTGATGACGTCATCTGCTCGGTCGTAGCCGCCTTGCGCCGTTTCAGGTGCGAAGTCATGTGGAGCGATCAGGCATCCCGAGTTTTACCATCAAGTTGCGTATTAAGTTTTATTTAATGCTTTGCCTTGTTGGGAACTGTAATTTAAATGGTCATCTCAATCAGGAAGTGACATTGTCCAATTTAAATTTGTAGGTATTTATAAGAAACTGTGCAGTATTTGTGAAACTTGGTTGTGCCATATTTTGGAATGATTCATTAGTTCATTAATCAATATACTTTTTTGTATGTGCCTTGCGTAATTATGTTCGTAAGTTTCTATATAAAGTAATGCAACTTTGAGTTCATCCCTTAGTTCAATTTAATTGTGTTACTAACATATTTATATCTTATATTTCAAGGTCTCCAATTAATCCTAAAATTTATCGTGAGACATCCGAAAGAACTAAAATAATTTTTCATCTTCTACTAGGTCGCGACATAACATGTGGAGTTCTCCTTTTGTCATCGTTCTGTTTAGAAGAGAAGAGAATTTGGACTTTCTTCGACTCGGCGACTAACTCCCTTCTGCTTTAAAAAATGAACCCACTGCGGTTGCTTCTCTACTTAAATTACACAAGACTCGGAGCGAAGTGTTTGAGCCGTCCCGTCCCGTGCGCGCCACCCACACAAAAACTGCCGTCCGTCTGTTCCCGTCCGTCCGCGCGGTCCCGATCCAGGAGGCGCGTAGCTTTAGGGCGAGGGGGGCACGAGGAAGAGCGGCGCCAAGGGCGGCGAAGAGCAGGTTAGGGCGGGGCAGAGGGCTCTTGGGTAGAGTGGGAAGTCTCCAGGAGCGAGGTCGTAGGTCGGCTCCGGATCTCGCCGTTTGGCGGGGGAAGATCAACGCAGCCTCCCGCGATAAACAACCACTATACATACGGGAATTGACCTTCGCTTATGAAACTGACCAATCAATCGATCGGGGCCTGATTCTAGCTTCGGGTTACTATGCACATTTTTCAAGCAGCTCTTCACTGTTACGGTCCCACGTGTAAGCCCACCGTACCGGCTAGTAGTAAGTTGACCTAACCCCATACTCACTCAAGCTACGAAAGCGAAAACTACCGAATAGTTCCTTCAGATGTACCAATACCTCCACATCTTACAGTAAACTGGTCGATTTCCAATTTGTTATAACTTATTGGAACTCCTATCCTAAAAACCTTTCTTCGCAGCTTATTCTTAAATCATATTCAAAATCCTTAAGTTTATGTCTTATTCCAGTTACTCAAACTTTACGATAGAATTTCGGAACACAGGAAGTTATGTTTTAGGCGATAATTTTTAGGTAAAATATTTAGTCCAACACTGCAAATGAGAGTGTTAAAATTTACTTTAAATTAGTCAAATCAAATAAAATTAGATGTGGAAAATTTCCTCCATTATTTTAAACTAGCGAAAGTACCCCGCGTTGCCAGAGTATTTATTATAATTTTTTATCCGGAAAGAGAAATTCCATCTAATGGCACCCCGCCCTGAACCTTTTTGTATTCTATTTTATCCCCTCTCTCTCCTTACACATGTTAAATTCCTCTGACTACCCAGTTCGCATTACTCTTTTACCTCAATTATACTTTCTCTTCCCAAACTTATTATCATCAATTTAAATAATCATTCTTACGCCATCCAAAGGTACGCTTTCAGTCTCCGGTTCCATAAAACACTTCCCTAGAAAAAATCACACCTTACCTTTCACAGTTTTAGTATCAACTTGTAAATAATACATATTTGGGTTGTAAAATCCAAAAACACGTCATAATGATGCAGAAGTTACAACAACTAAAGTAACAGCTAATTTATACAGAACACATGTGTGCATTTATAACTTTTTATGACAATATCAAGCACATCCACCAGCAAAATGAATTTTTTCCAATAATTTCATACCTCTTATACACTTAATACATTCAAACCTTGATGCAATGAAAATCAATATCGAATTCAATCTTATAAATAGAATGAAGATAAACAAAATATGAACATTTTATATTCTATTGAATATTTAAATTAAGCAGATCTCTTCTATCCTACAGATAAGTGCAATGTGCTTTGATGAACTTCTCGTGACGTAGATCTCTGCCGTCATCCTCCGGTGGCGCGCAGCTAAAATATTGCACATTGATGCACTCTTGAATCTGCGATGTAATGCTGGGCGAATAAAGTCCAGAAAAGACGTTATTTGGTAAATATATAAATTTTTATTGCTGTAAATCAAAGCCTATAGTACTTCTGACTTTCTAAGCAAGCTATCACAAAAAAATCGTCGATATTAGTTCAGTACATTCATAGATTCTCGCTCTGAAACACAACGTCCTTGACTCTTTATGTTCAAGAATAGACATAGACAATACATTTTCTACAATTGGTCGCATTAAATGACACGTCAATGAAGTTGCCACGGGTAATATTTGTTAAATCAACATTACATTTATTTCTTCTAACTCGAGCATGTCTGACCACTAGCCACCATTAACAATTTATATTGAGTTTAAATTATTCTCTGCACAATATATACTATTAGTACATTTTATTCTACTAGTACAGCCGCAATTCATTTCCTGGTCGATGTTACAGCTTTAAATGCACAAGAGATAAAACTTAATACGTAAGATCAGCAAGTGTCAATATCTTATCTCTTAAGTTGGTAGATATTTTTTCTTTATTGATAAACTTCTTTCTGCGGTGTGTTTATTAGAGCAAGCGGAACGCCGTTGATGATTGCTAAGATACAAAAATGAAATTTACTTAAAAGAACTACGCATCAATGATCTGATTCCTCCCAAATTGTTGTTTTAGCCAGGGGTGTCAAGACTGTTTACAAAGATTTTAAAAATATTACGATAACTGAAGTGTTTTCATTTCAATTAGTACTTCAAAGATTCAAAACTTCTTAACACAGATACCTAAGTTAGTGCACTATATATAAAATACATATTAAATTATATAGTACAGATGCAAAACATCAATAAAAATACTATAAATGTGAACATGATACACTCATCCCGATCACCCATTTTCGTTCAGTTTCCCTTCATCTGACTTGATCAGCGGTTGAAGTCGTTCTTTTGCTTCTGGAGAGTGAATGTGTCTTTTCTTCTCCGTAATGTCTGTAAGTTTTTACTCCCACTATTTTGGCATGGCACAAACAAACGAATAACGGAGGGAACTGGCGTGTCCGCAGGTGACGTTCAACTCGCAGACGCCGCAGTCGGGCTTCATCAAGGAGTGGACCCTGATGCTGCACGGCACCCGCGACCCGCCCTACAGCGAGCTGCCGGTGTCCGACCCGCACTCCAAGCTGGCCATCGTGAAGAAGGCTCACGAGGAACGCAACAAGATGTAGGCGCGTTGCCCCCCGCCACCGACTCCGCCGCTCCCTGCCCCCCGTCGTCCTCCAGCCCCCGCAACGTCTGCGCCCCCTCCCGCCCCCGCCCCCGCGACCAAGCTGCTGCTCGCATCAGCTGCCCATCCGCCAGTGGCGTAGCCAGAGCTCGACATCTGTTGCCCCAACGGAAAGCAAAAGACTTAGGGACTGGCCTCATCTGTATCACGGCATTGTGTTAGATCTTGACATCTGACACAAAGGAAAGAAACAAATTCGGGACTAACTGGAATTGTGTGTCACATGGGTCACAGGGGATTTCGCTACGTCCGAAACTAACTACAGGAAGCGTGAACCCTAAGTGTTTATTTTCGTATTTATTCTTATTCATCCTCCTCGTTTTAGATCGAGAATCGACCGTACCTCTCTTGAAATCTACCGTCCGTGAAAAGTAAAAGAATCTGAGCAACTAACTGCAATGGAACGTGGCATATGAAGGAGAAAGGCAGTTTCGCCATTTTCGCTATCAGCTTGAGGAAGCGTGCTCATCCTTAAGTCTTAATTTTCTTGTTCTTCGTCCTCTTCTTTGATCTTGGACTAACAGTCCCGCTCTTCAAATCTGTTGCTGTTCCAAAGCGGAAAGATAAATGAATTTAGAGATTAGGCCCCATTGGGGGATGATTGAATTGAGAAGACGAACCCAATTCCGTTGCGCGTAAATGACGATGGGGATGTTCTGCCGACCTCATTGCTCGCTGCTTAAAGCTTTGCCACGAACTTTTATTTCCTTATTCTTAATGAGCATCTCTGTTCTTCGGCCGATGCAGCTGATTTTTAAACAAATCTGCCCTGAAAAAAATTAAGGAAAAGAAAAAAGAGCTTAGGGATTAGCCCCAATTAAGAAAGATACGAATGAGGAAGGAAAGTTTCAGCGAATTCACAGCTCGCTACACAAAGCCTGGTCCCTAAGGCATTCTTTTCTACTTACTTTTCCTCGTTTTCTTCCTATTTTTTTCGTAACCAATTTGCTTTTCTGTGCAACATTTCTGAGGCTATTACCTTCTGCTTCTATTACTACGTCACTGGGAATTCACTTTATTCGCTGTCAGCGAGTTTGTTTCATGTACATTGTCAATAATAATAACGCTCTTCTTTATTGATCTTGTAATTTAATGATCGATTATGTTTTGTACACTCAAGGAAAGATAAAATGAGCGCTTAAACATGAACAACAAATAGAATTGTGATACCCAAGTCTTACTGAATCATATCCTACAAATGGTATATCAGGTGCTACAAATGTAGCATTTTGTACTGTGTCATTTGTTCCTTTTATCTTTCCTCACGTATTTTGTTGTTAACGAATTTACAACAAAGATTCTGAAAAACATAGATGGCAGTTTTTGTGAGCAGTAGCGTGTTGAACACTTGGCAGTTTTATGATCACATCAACTTGGGTTTAAAAGAGTAGTTTATTTCCTGCTCATTCTGACTTCGGAATCTCTCTGCCCTCCCCCCCTCTCTCTCCGCTGAGGTGAAGGCACGCACAGCCGGGGACTGTCGGCTGCTTTCCATTCCTGGCGCGCGCGGAACAACTTTCTCTCTCGTTTTGCCCCCGCGCCGCTCGCGCCGGGAGTTGAACCGAAGGCCGTGACGTCCTCCTCGCCCAGCATCCCTCCTCCTCGTCCACGTGCGCCCGCCCCCCCCCTGACCTCCCGTCCCCGTTTCCCGCCCGGCGCCGCCGCCCCTCGGCGAGGGCTGGTAATTGACCCGGGGGGCCGCGTCCGCCCCGCGCCGCCCCGCCGGCGCGAGACCCCGCTTCCTTCTGCTGCCGCCGAGCTGGCGCCCCCCCCCCGGCCGCTGACTAGTCGCGACTTTCTTTTCAGAACCAGAATGTGCCACTAGACACGACTGCCCTCTTTGTAGCCGAAAGCGAGTTGTTGTGGATCCAACTATTTGATATTAATGTGACTTTCGAGTGATCAGCACATGATTTTTTTATCAAAGAAATCACATTCAGTCACAAGTCACCAAGAAACACTAAGTTCGATTATAGTCTCAACGTAGTTATTATAGGTTTGACTTCAGCTCGTTGCGTGGTGTTCGGGTCTTATATCTCGTTTAAATTTGCGTGCGTTTTATCCACAGTTCACACGTTATTTTGAAATATTTTTATGCACCGTAATGTGGGTGACCTGCTATCACACACTCATTCCTCTAAACGGGAACGTTTCCGACTGAGTTACGCATGTGTGATGAAAGAAGAAGGCCAGTTTTCAACGCTCGGTGCCTGTAAATATAAGATCAGTATGGCTTTTGCCCACATGCTAGGGAGTGTTTACAACAGTTTCGATGTGATTGGTTATTCGTGTTGGTCACAGAACGAATCATTTGTTCTGAAGTAACATATCTCTACGAGTTTTGGTAAATGTGTTGTAAAGGTGAAGGGAGGCCTGTAAATTACGTAATTACGTATCAATACTTTTTCAGGAAATATTTGACAAAGACTTTTAAAACGTGATTTTTTTTTCAAAAGCCAATTCTAAAACTTCTTAATTTATGAATGGAGAACACGGGGGGTTGTCAGATAATCACCTCGTTGTGAAACAAAAATAGGATTTTTAATTTTAAAAATATTGCTGTATTAAAAGACAATAAATTATTCAAACTTAACAAAGAACTTATACTAGTGACCGACATCAAATCAATGTTTTGGGGTACTAAAACTAATTTTTTTATTGCTAGGAAATATTATACTAAAGAAACAATTTTAGTGACACTCCTTTTTCTTCTACCCTCAAAGGCAATTAAATTGTGTGTATTAAAAATAATAATTAAACAGATAAACGATTCTTCGAGTACATTCTTTACTAAGTAAAAAAAGTTCCGAAATAAATGACCGTTGAAATTACTAATTCCTTTTTCTAGTTTAGTTAGACAGTTTTCTTGATTGTGAAAGGGCGCTGCACGTTAGTGGGCAAAACGGCGAGGAACGATGACTGCCAGTCACGCCATGTCATCTGCGTGCGATTGGGATTATTCAACGATTACGATCCGTGAATCACAGAGACATCTGGCGGCTCTTGTATAAACTCAGTCCTGTGGCGCTACTGCTGCCCCTTGCGGTCATCCTGTTAAGCTGCGATTTCGTATGACAACGGAGAAATAAATGAAATCCGTCCTGTTTGAAGGGGATGCTGTCCAAGTCTTGGAACATTGACATTTCTTTACATTGATTTTTTATGTTTTGTTTGTCTGGCTACAATTTTATGTATCTCTATTGTGTTTGATTATCGTAAAAAATAGATCTAGACAGCATATCGAGTGTTTTACATTACATTTTTTGCTATTTCCTTTCCTAGGACAAATGTACCCCATAGACTTAATCATTTTAAAACATTCCATTAGACGGCTAATATATTATAAATTATCATATGCTAAAATGCCGTGCCTTAGGCACCAAAGTGAAAATTGACAGATATGCATCTTTGCATTCTGATTAAAATTGTGTAAATTGTTCAATTCGCCGACATTTCAATTCTCCGGCAGCCATCAGTTATTTAGGTAAGACGCTCAGAAACATTAATTCTGATAACTGAATTTTCCCGGGGTTTAAGACAATTTTCCCTCGACAAAACATGACTGTTTGTGAATATTTGATAAGAATTTGTACATAAACTGCTTTACTAATTTATTCGTGAGCGCTCCCGACATCTTTTCGTCATGTACCTTTATGAAGCTTCATACAATAACCTGCACATTAAATGTCATCTAATAAAACTTAACAGGCAATTGGACTAAGTATATTTGAAAGAGTTCGGCACAGAGGAGTGGAACGAAGTTGTCGACCGCCCGGGCTTCCCTTTAAACCTCTGTTCTTTTCATTATTTCTTCACTCCATGTTGTTTGTGTTGGGATCAGCTGCACTCTTGTTGCTCACATTTCAGATCACAGTGCAAGCAACCACATTGAGAGTGCAGTAGATATCCATATTCCATCACCCCCCCCCCCTTTTACTGAAAGCTCCTTGGCTGTCTCTTGTCCAAATGATTGCTTTTTCCTTATTGATACAACACATTAGCAGCTTCCAGTAACTGTTAAGCTGCTAAAAGTTGGAGACAAAATACTTTTATTTTCTGTTGTTGGAGAAAAGGTATGTAACCGATTTCCTCGATATATCAGTCAACATCTCAAGATCTAAAACAACCTTGCCCTAAGGCAAGGTGTAACAACAATGAACAATAAGATACTTCTCTGCTTGACGTATTTTCTGCAACTCAAAATTGCCTAATGTAACCTTTCAAGACATACTGTTCTAAAGAAACTAACATGACCAAATGCTAGAGGTAGAAATTCCCATGTAATAATAAAAGGAGAAGAAAGTTTGACTTGAATTATGACAAGAAGCGCACCTTTGTCACATCAACAAATAGCAAAGAAAAATTTACCAAAATAAAGCTGACAATTTTTAAATCTACTTACAAAACTAAAATAAGATCATATTTCATGAATTAAAGAAAATACAAATTTCTATAAAATGTAACTTCTTTAGAATTAAGAAACATATCTAATTAGAGTAGCTCAAAAAGAATTCGTGCAGGTCACGAATACACTTGCTCCTTGGTGCAAGATTATTTTTCACTATTTGCAAAATTCATTCCATGTTAAGCAGATTAAATATATGGTTCTCTCAAAGGGCACCAGATTACACATACAGCACACCCATATGTAGTGGGTGGTATGTTTCTAAGATGATTCATATTTTGAGTGTGTAAATATTTATAAACAATAGTAAAGTAGTAGTTACAAAAAAATGAATATAAGCATAAACCCATAAAATGAATAGACATACTCAATGATGTAATGTGGTGTGATTATGCAGTAGGTGTGTGCATGACTAGCTATGTTCTATAGGATTTTGAACCCTACCCCTGTATTACCTGAAATTCCTCTCTTCCATGGTAGGAATAAACATGGTGATTTACTGGATAAGAGAAACAAATAAAACAAAATACAATATTTCTACTTATGACTGTAAAATAAAACAGATTTACAAACACTACTACATTTCACATCAACCTCTATAAACAGTTTTTAATATATTTTCTGATAGTTTATGATTATACTATAAATAATCAATTAAAAATATTAACATTATCACATGATAGGTACAGTTACCATCACTATGACTATAGAGAAGCACTATTTTAGGAACAAATGTGATAGTTCATTTTGTACAACTATTCTGTACTTCCCATATTTGTTTCCACCATGCTGTCTTTTACACTTCCTAATTGTAGTATCATACAGTAGTGCCGAGCGATTGGGTAGCATCACAGAACTGAAAGTACTAAAACTTGAATGCAATTGTATTAAAATAAATAGGAATTGAAGCTGGTTCTGGATACAGAATAAAAAATGCAATTCATTTTTATGTATTATGTTAAAAATGATTAGAAATACTTCAAATAATTGAAGTCAGAATAGAATGTTTTTAAAATATTCCAATACTTTGTTATTTTTTCAAGACCACTGTAGTTTGTTGTCAAAACCATAATTTAGAATAGAATTAATGTGTTAAGATGGCATTCAGGAAATGTAAAAAATCTGCTAACTTAAACTACCATCTTTTAAGTGTTGTCAGATTGAAAAAAAAAATTAACTTGTACTAAGACTTATGTTACAAAGTAGCAAGAGGTAACAGAGATTTCCTTATGGATTTGAAAAGTTGTTTTTAATTTCTTGATAATTTCATAGATAAGTGAATATATTACAAAACTTGAGA